GTCGTGTGTACGCATGTCAGGCACAAAACGTTGACAAATGTGCCAAGTCCATTGGTACTTCCCCAGACCCTGCGAGCCCTCACTCATTGTGAAATGCCACCATATCTCCTCCATGAGACGCATTCAACGATGCAGTGTACATAAAAAGCGGTTGTCATGATCGTGTTGGTATATTCATCGCCAGCGCTCTCTTAGCACTACCTAGTTCACGTCGGGTAACCGCACAGCGATGTCGCCTGACTGTGTAATGTATCGTACCCAAGGTAGCGATGGGTATTGCAACTGCATGTATGTTAGCTGCTGCCTCTTCGATCATACCATTGCTTGTCCTTACCTTTGGCTCGATGATCTTCAGATACCGCACTTGGATACCTGATGTGGTAAAGTACGGAATCTCGAACTTGACGTTGATGGGCCTCTTGGCCTTTCCACCGCCAACACCACCCATGCTACCACCGAAGCCTCCCATCATACCACCACCTTTCTCATCATCACCGCGCACCGATGGCAGACCAAGTTCAGCACGCATGAGGAACTCCTTGCCACCACCAAACTGCTTGATCTTCCACACTATGGAGGATGTCTCAGGCGCGTAGTGTACGGTGCCAATGTTTGTACGGAAGCGAGGGGTGTCTGCGTCTTCGGGGACAGGAATCGAGATCTGGACGTTATTGGCGGTGCTTCGTCGCTTAAACTGTGCTCGTGCCTGCGAAATGTTAGCCTATTACACCCCGTTGTCCAGAGATCTGCCTACCTTCAGCATGTACTCGATCCTGCTGCCTGAATGGCTCTCGACTATGCACTCTACCCAGATGAGGGGCTTGACTTGTGTGTTCAGGCGGTAGCTCATCAGCTCGAACTCGCCGTCTGGTGGAATGAAGCTGATGGTCCTGTCGTTCTCGAATCTCGATAATCGCACGCACTGGTGGAACTTGACATCCTCCATCTCGACGGCCTTTCCTCGTGTAGCCCTTCCGGTGGTCTCAAACATGGCTTTGTCGTTCAGACCCAGTCGCAACTCAGGCATACCCGACAGGTAGCACTTCATCTTGACAGCACCCAGAATCTCTGATCGTAATACGCTGCCGGTCGCGGAAACGAGGAGGTTGAGCGATTCGATTACGTCGAGGAAGACTTCGTTCTTGCGGTATCGGATACCTTCGCTTCGCCAGCTGACGGCGTTTGTGACTGCGATGGGTGGACGTGCGATTTCGAGCTTGTGCGACTCTTGTGTGATGTATCTGCAGACTTATTATTAGTATGGAGCCATAGTACAGCTGTATGAAATGCGTACTCTTGCAATATCTTGGTCTCGGTGGTTTGTGGGTAGCCAAAGTCCATCATCTCATCCAGCAGTTCGTAGATAACGACAAAGTTGTCTCTTATGCTCTCTTCTTCTAGCTCTTTGAAGTATTCTGTAAAGACCTCGACGATCTTGTGGAGGAACAGGAGAATCTCGGCCGCATTGGTGTTGCGCTTGGTCAGGGCGAGGAGGTAGAGGTTGTTGTGGCGGATGTAGAGGTAGTTGATGCCTTCGCTGGAGAAGCATGGTGGGACTGCCGAGCTCTCGTCTTCGGCCTCGCTCAGTAGGATGGGGAATTTCTCGACAGCTGACATGGGAATGTCACCGCGGTAGTTGCGCGCCAGAAGGGTCTATGCGATGGTCAATAGGTAGCCCTTCCAGAGGCCTGACCGCCATACCTTGCCCTTCAGGTCGAGAAAAAACACCGCCGACGCCATGGTGAGAGACTGTGAATGGTATGAAGAAGAGGAAAAGAACAATCAGCTATCGGGTCATGGTGCGCAAGGAAAGGGCGATCGAGGGGTATACGTGCTATGTCCTGGTCGCGTCTCGGTGATGCCAGAGTAATTGCGGCTCTTCCCGCGCGCCAAGACTCCTCAACGCACTAGGCCCATACAGTCGCAACGCTGATACTTATGCCTGGGGCCTTTGATCTTTTCCACCGCACATCGAATCTTAATCCACATCTTTGTCCTCATATGCCAACAGGTTACGATCACAGAGCGTTCATACATGGCCACACTGTAGCGAACCGCATTAGCTGAGACAACCTTGGAAGCTACACCCCGCATTAGCGAACTCCAGGCAGCACTATGGCCATCTCTCAGGCTCAACGTCTGCTTCGTCATCGGATTACAGCTCCATGCTGTCACAATGTCACTTTGCCATCTTTGCAGCGGTCTCACTTTCTCGAATCTCTACCCCCCGAACTTCTATCGCCATGCCGATGATCTGGCTGCATTGGAAGCGTCGGCCGCAGTCTGTCGTCTCTGCAGGATGCTGCGCGGTTGCATCGACTACCCCTATATTTACTCAATGCAATCGCAACTATATCTTCGAGGCACCACTGATCAATGTGTCACTTCTCCTGAAGGTCGCAAAGGCTTTAAGGCTTCTGTAAAATTGCAAATCATCCCGGGCGAATTGCGCCCGTGGCAACCAAAGATGAAGGGCGCTTCATATGTAGGCATCTGGACGAAGTGGAAACTGGCGGCAACCTGCATGATGTTGTCGGTCGAGGAAGGTATTGAAGCGTGCTGTTCTATCCTCCATTGTCTAACCACCTTCTCTAGGTGACAAGTTGGGCTCAGAGCCCATTCTGCCCGGCACTAAATACTCTTTCGTTTCCGGTCGTGTTCAACTAAACGGCTTGCCTTCACAGGCATATTTCGATTCCCTCAAGCGCTGGTTGGCCAACTGTGAGACCAATCACACAAGGTGTCGCAACGATTTTCCGGAATTGCCAAAGCGAGTCATATGTGTGGCCGAAGAGGGTGAAAGCCCATATCTTGTACGAGGGGAGGGTATATACGCTCGCTATATGGCTCTGAGTCATTGTTGGGGCGATTCAAGAGAAGGTATGACCACGACCGAGAATGTGGAAGCACATATGCATGCCATAGATTGGGCCGCGCTTCCGAAGACGTTCAAAGACGCCATAATTACTTGCCGTCGGCTTGGTATCAAGTACATATTTATCGACAGGCTGTGTATCGTGCAGAATTCGCAAAGCGACTGGGAAGAGCAGTCGGCGCTCATGGGTTCAATCTATCATGACAGCACCGTAACACTGGCAGCATCAGTAGCCAACGACTCCTCAACCGGGATCTTTGTCCCGGTCCGTCCATCTGAGGACTTCAGGAACGATGTTGTCGCACTGCCATCATCATTTGGAGACTACAAAGGACAGGCTTTCATCACCGCCCCCACCTCCGTCAATGGCTGCATGCAGGTACACAGCTCGGCCGATAAACTTGGCTCCACTGTCTTGGACTCCAGAGCATGGGTGATGCAAGAGATGTGCCTGTCTCAAAGGACGATAAGCTTCCTTGAACGCGAGGCAATTTGGTGCTGCTGCGAAACATCACAAGATCAGAATGGGCAAGTCATGAGAGCGGAATATAACCTCAGTGTACGGAACAATCTGGGGTTCCTCGCCAGGGCCTTCCAGAGGTCTTGGTACCTAGAGGACCCAGAAGAAAAGAATTGGGAGACGACGATATGTTCGAAAGACAGCTTCGTATGTGATGTTAACCAAGCGGATGCTTTGAAAGAACATACTCGTCTCGTAACGTCAGAGCCACTGCATATTCTGGCTCATGTTACTCAGGGCGGAAAAACACATCATGTCCTCGATCTTCGCGCGCCTCCGTATCGCAATATTACTCCACCGACCCTGATCCGAGCAAGCGACGACCGCGCTTTCTACATGTTTCTCATAGGCATCATACAGTCCACCATACATAACCTATGGTACTCCATGGTAGATTCGTACAGCGTTCGCCAGCTTACGTTTCCTTCAGACAAGTTACCAGCCATGGCAGGCATCGCATCACGCGTACAGGAGATCACACACGATGACTATCTCGCGGGTCATTGGCGCAGGGACATGGAGCGCTCACTATTCTGGGAAAGCTTCACACTGGATCTTAGCGATCCTCCCGCCAGAGCGGTCAATTATCGAGCGCCTTCCTGGAGCTGGGCAAGCATTGACGGGCGCATCAACTCGCCCTCACATAATCTAGCTCGTGGTGGAGCCATTCCTCCACCTATCCAGATAGTTGATGTGAGCACTCGAATCGATGGCAATAATCCGTTTGGATCCGTTAGCGACGCAAAACTCGTCATCAATGCTCGCTGCATGAAAGCTGTCTGGGATGCCGAACGTGCGGAGTTCCGTTTGGTGGGATACTTTAGAACCACACCAGGACCTTTACTAGGTGCAGCAACATTATATTTCTCCTGTTTGGATAGTCTTGACGGTACTTCGGCTGGGTACTGGCGCTACGACGACCGAAAGCATGGTGTTCTACCTGGCCCGCCTCTTGGTCTTTCCCCTTCGGAAGAAGAGTTGGACTCTAGATTGACGTGCCGATGGACGATGGAGGGTACCACATTTCATGCTTCCACCAATGGCCTTAGGAAACCCCCGGTACCGGAGAGTTTCACATATGTTCCGAAGGAACTCACTATCATCAAAGGATGTGCTTGGAAAGACTCAGTAAATTCTTACGTTGAGGTTTTAGTCTTGGCGGCAGTCGAGACCGGGAACGGTGTGTTTAGAAGGGTTGGCAGAGGGATACTGTACAGTTGGGATGAAGAGGCGGAGAGTGTGGAGACTTTAACTATTGTATGAGCGAACGCTTTCACTGCTTCGTCGATCTGGCTGCTGCACGATCTTCTTCGAAGTTTCGACTACTCCAGGAGGATCATGAAGGATATCAACCGGAAAACCATATGGACATCCCCTATACCGTCATTCACTCTGCATTGCCTATTCGGCAATGTCTTCTCACGTTGCGCATGCTAGCAGACCTTTCTCACAATGGGCCTCCGACACTACGGCGCACGTTGTAATCTGACAGATTGTCAGAGCAGGCAATGAAATGGCGAAAATAATCTCCAGGGGTTCGATCGATCCCATAGCAAACAAGTTCCAGGTCGCTTCATTTGAGCCACACAAAGATACCGCAACAAGATGAGCGAAAACCCGATTTCCAGCATTTTCAATCTCGTTCTCACAACAAGACTATATGCTTTTCCGCGAGGCCCAATCGAGGAGCAAGAATTTCTGACCGCCGTGTTTCGCGTCCCATTGCAACGACTGGGCTTTCCGTCTCAGCCTATACCATCTCAAACCGGAGTATTTGATACATGGGTCGACCGGGAAATCGATGACGTGGAAGGCGCTACCTGGACAGATGACGATGATTGGAACGCGATATTTCTACGTGACAGCATAGAGGAGCTTTTTGATCAGCTTTATGGAAAAGACAGCCCAGTGTACGTCAACTGGAATGACCACGTCAAGCGTTCAATCGGGAAGGCTCACACCCTGACTCTTCTGGACGCAGCTGCAATCACTCCTCCGTCATATTGGTCTGAGGATATTAGAGCCACAGTAGAAGCCTTCACTGCACTTCTTGAAGCCTTCCACAATGTCAAGGGAATTGTCTGGACTGATTACCCATACGATGACGCTCTTGATGGCCGCCTCGGTCGATGCAACGACTACGCCTTCATCCAGCGACTTATATTCAACGAGTGTCGTCTTTACGGAAAGTCGCTAGATGAATACGAAGCCAGCATGCGTCAAATACGGGAGAAATTTGGTATACCAGTGGAATTCGATCTCACTGAAGAATTGCAGCAGATCGAGATGGCCTACAACCAGCAACACTACGAAATCGAAGAAAGGTTATCGGAAGCGTCAGAAATGGAACGGGTAGGCCCGATGATTCCTGTCACGGATGTGTCCACAGAGATAGAGGACCCAGAAGGCGTGGACTGCGTAGTTTGTTGGTCTGACATCTGCCCTTCCCCCGGAGTACTGACTGCCCCTTGCCAACATGCCTATCATAAGGAGTGTCTGGAACGCTGGATTCACGCTGGGCAAGGGGCTAGCCATCTTTGCCCCTACTGTCGCACAGAGTTGTTTCCCGAACCGGAGTATCAGGACCTTTTTCGTAACTACGAGGAAGAGCGTGACAAGATTGAGGACCAGATGTACTGGCACTCTTGGATACAGAAGTCGGCGGAGTGGTTTGAGGGTGAGCTGGCGATGCAGAGGGGGTATGAGAGGTCAGAGACGAAACAGTTGGACTTACAGTGGCTTCGAAAGATAGGCGCACTCATTGCTTCGGGTAGTTTGGGGGGAAGATAGCTTCACCCGTAGTGATTTTGGCGCATAATTAGGTATTGGGTCTGGCATTAGTATTTGACTGTGAAATTTATTCCTTTTCAATAAAGGATGCACTTGGATTTTGCAAGGTGAAGGATAAGAGGCACGTTCGGCAAAACCGTCCAGGTGATCAGCTGCCACCGATCACCTCAGCATACCATGATGGCTACATAGTCAGCATGATTCATGGTCCTTCCCTGACTTAATTATTTGCACCTGTAGTCGGGTTATTCTTTCACCCCGCGACAGGCACCAGTCACGTGCGGGGTGTGAAAGGGCTGCCCCACTCATGTCGCTCCGTCCTCGTGGTAGAGCAAACACGTGAGGCTGGTACCTTCCACTTCCGAACCCCCCCCACTCCATCCCGCTCTCGAGTTATCACGACCGTGGAAATTCCATAGCACTCTCTGCAAGCTTGCGCAATCATGTCCGCCGAAGCTCAAGATTTGGTACCGCCAATAAATCAGGCGCCGGCGAGCGCCGCAGGTACGTAACTCACCTGCATGCCCTGCATCGATCCTGAAATTTATTTACGCCGTACCTCTTCATATTGAGATCCTCTGCTAACGATGGCAGTATATCGACGTGTACGTACACACTTACGTAGCATAAGAGACCTGCGCAAGTTCGGCTACAGGCACAAGAACCCCAAAGACGTACTTTCCATGACACCCGCAGAACTTCGGAAGCTAGAGCAACAGCACTTTCCAAGTCCAGCAAATATCTCTCGTCTCACCGGCATAAGCGATGAAGAGACTGAACAACAAGCCGATGCCGCGCGGCGGTGGCTACTGGGTATGCTCGACTGCCATGACAGAACAATGGCCCGGGAACACGAGATCAGAATGTTTAGATTCGCCGTGGAGAAGCAGATGGAAGAACGAGAAAAGGACTGGACGGATCTGGAACGACTGTACATGGCACTCGCAAACAGCAATCTCGCATCGCCACAGGAGCGATTGCAGGCAGCGTTCGTGACCGTCCTTCACTTTGACTACCCGCAACGCCGGCGAGATGTTAGTGAGGTCGCTCAACAACTAGACGAGCGTCTGAAGCGGGCTTCCGACATGGACGCTGTGTTAGATGAGACACGCGATATCATAGTCGCCAGAACTGAATTGACCAATGTCGACCATTTCGCGTGCGCCATTCCACTGTCACTACTCACTGTCACAGCAGACAACGCTTCTGTCGTCGATGACAACGCCGGCTGCTGCCCGATCTGCCAACTCTCATACACCTCATTCCAAGATTCCTCTATCCTACAACTACTAGGTGACTATCCAGTGCGAATCAAGCAGTGCGGTCATATCATCGGAAAATCGTGTCTAGAGCAGTGGATGAGAACGCCAAAGATCGACGAAGCAAAATACCCACATCGCACATGTCCGTGCTGCCGTGTCAAGATCGAAGGTGTGAAGTCGCCCTCAGTACCCCGTGGGCTACTGGATCATTTAAAGACCGATCGACGAGCCATGGAGACAGTAAGAGAGTTGCTCTATGGGTATGATATGGACCTGGAGGAGTGTCTAAGCGCTATCAGCGCGTGCATGAGCGAAGAGATCGCCTGCGAGGAGCTGGTGGCTGAGCTTGTACGGAATGGTGGAGAGCAAGACGATCAAGTACTGAAGGATAAATTTGCGAGTCTGGAGAAGGAGAAACGGGCTTGGGGTTTCAGGGGGAACGGGATCTGGAAGAGGCTGCGAGAGGAATGGATGAACAGCGGTGTCACCCGGAAGGCTTGAGGAGGACGACTGCCACTCCCTGGATGTCGCCGGGAGTCCTCTGGTACTCTCCGGACTTTCGGACTCATGCTCAACAATAAACACAATACTGTGGGCTCGGACGAAGGCATGCGGATCTCGTGGATATCGGAAAGGGCCGAACGAGCAGCTCGTATCTAGGAGCTCTTGGCTCACGAGGCAGTGCAAGCTGATGAGGCATTTTCTTTCAACCATTTCAGTCTCTCTCGAGTATACTCCGTAGTACATCAAGCTTCACGAGGAAGCTCGCTCAACAGCCAAGCAATGATAGATCGACATACCAAATGTTAAAAACCACGCATCACGAGGGGTAAACTGCCCCGCCAATTGAGAAATATCGCGCACACAGCCCCCGTCTGTCAAAGTGTAGCCTCGCTCAACACCAAGTAAGGGCGTGCATGTGCATACACCGGCAACAAGCATCCTCAGCGCGAGGTCCGTTTGCTCATATATAATTCTGGGGCCCGCCGTTCGCGCAGTACAGATCACGACGTCACGTGCCCCACATAATGACCCTTGATTTCTCCACGTTCTCCGTGCTCTAGACCCAGAAGCAGCTACACACTTGCGCATCTCCACGGTCTAGGCTATTGAGGCTGAGTACATAAGCCAATAGACTGTGGCGCGGGCGGGCTTCTGATTGGTTCCAGCGTATGCAGGTAGAAAGGGTAGATGACGTCTTGTTTGTGAGGGTCGCGTGTGCCGCCGCTTATCAACGCAAGCAGCTGTTGCTGGGCAAGGCTTGGCCTATGACGATGTATAATGCGTGTGAAAAACAAACATAGGGAGCCCGCCGTTCTGTCGCTGCTGCTACTACATCCCACGCGAAAAAAACTCCATTCATTACGCAAAAACCAAGTATGAGCGTTAACATTATTGACGTTGGTGTCAGCAGGGTGCGTTGTGTGTTCCTTGCATGCTTCTTCCCGCTCTTCTAGATGCCGGTTCTTCCGAGCTGAGACCGAGATCTATCTCTCTTTACTAACGTTGTTCCCCACAGATTCTGGGTGCGAGAGAAGATCAAGAAGACCGTTATGTTACTCTGACGCCGGGTTCGATCAAGTCACGGAAAGAACTCGCTGTCTTTGCCGTGTATGATGGCCAGTAAGCAGCGTCACACAATATCCCAAAGTTGTGGCTTGTAAGCTAACGACTGGGTTGCAGTGGGGGTACAGAAACAGTAAACCATGTTGCAGAGCATCTGCATACACACCTGGAACAACACATCGCCATCCAAAAGCCGTCCAATGTAGCCGAGTATAAGCACGCGATACAAGGAGCTCTGCTGGCTGTAGACCGCGATCTAGACCACGCCAACCTAGACGGAGGCTCAACCGTCTCTCTCGTTCTCATCGACACAAAGCAGAGCTTGCTCATACAAGCGAACCTAGGAGACAGCCATGTCTTCTTCGCAGACCACGAGCCCCAATCCCCACAATCGCTATCGCCACAATCGCCCACGCGCGTCGACTCCGGCGTCAGCTCCAGCGGCTGGAACGTCGAAGCCCTCAGCGAAGAACACGCACCCGACAGCCCACTGGAGAAACGGCGCGTAGAAAATGCCGGCGGCGAGATCAACTACCGCTCCGGCATCGCGCGCATCGGCGGCGTGAGCATGTCGCGCGCGCTCGGCGATCTCGACTACAAGAAACCGCGCGTGAACCGCCTAGCAGGCCACGACCTCTCGGACCTCATCGGCGTAGAAACCGGTCTCGCGCCAGGCAAAACCGCAGTCCACGACCTCGTCTCCAACAAAGCGCACTTCACCACGCGCACCCTGCACGGCCAATCGCTCATCCTCCTCGCGTCGGACGGCGTCGGTTCGGCGAAGGAGGCGGAGGAATGCACAAGGCTGGCGGTGGATGCGTGGCAATCTGGGAAAGAGGCCAAGGAGATTGCGGAGGAGTTGACGTCGAGAGAGGGACAGATGAAGGGCGCGGATAATTGTACTGTGCTTGTTGTTGTGCTGGATACGGAGAGTAAAGGGAGGAGGAGTATAGATAGTGGGAGGCGGAGTATGGATATTGGGATGGAGGGGGGTGGGTCGAGGAGGAGGCGGAGATCGAGTATTGCTAGCTTGAAGGACTGGATACGGGATCGTTAGGTGGCGGTTCGACGGGGTGCGGCTGGGTGGTATGGGAAGTGGGGAAAAGTTTGGGAGGATTGATGGGGAATGGGGTTTACGTAGGCTTCATCAGCCTGGTTTGATGCAGCAATGGCGTTCTGGGTGAGGCGGATGTACGCCTCATAGTTCTTTTTTTCTACTGTTGTATCAATATATCAATATAACACAGAGTCTGCTGAAGTGTGAACGGTAGCACACTACGATCACTTTTCCTGCTCATCTTTCGTGTGTCTTCAAGTGCTTCTACGATTCGAGTCGTGCTCCTGCTGGACCATGGGCGACAACAAAGGTGAAGCCTGTGCACTTGGGCAATGCATACGGCAGGTATGATGATTGTGGAAGTCACAGTACCAAGGCCAACGTCTTGCTCAACATCATCGATACCAACAATCCAGCACTGATTCACCACCTCAACAACAAGTTTAATCAAAGACTTCATTGTTATCGTTGCATGCCGCGCTAGTGCGCTACTATGCTCACTCGCTATTCGCTCAATCGTTTCAACCATCGCTAGTACGACTAAACGTATCAACTGGTTCTCAACTCCTACCATGAAAGCGTTGAACAACGAAGGGGGGTATATCCATGCATGCCAGGTCAAGCGCCTAAACGCCCAGAACACATCTCTGGAATACAATCAGAACCATCGCTCCCCTGTTGGGTGTTCAAGGAATCCCATCATTCCAGAGATCGCTCTTTTGAACACAAGCCAAAATCTGCGTCGCCTAACCCTTCCGTCCCTTTGACACCGCAAGACCTTGCATGAGCGGGTCCTCATCAACAGTCCAAGTCTGCGCATCAAGCCTCGCCCGCTTCTCCTCGCGCGTCTCGCCGAATGCCTCAGCCCTCTTACCACCCTTCTTGGTACTCTGCATGAGCTCCACGGACACAGGAGTGCCAACACGAGAGCCGCCAACCGCAGGAGTAGGCAGCGAAGTATCAGTAAGAGCAGGCGGAGAAGTAACCTCATCATCAGCGTCGATGTCGTTCAGCCTCCGCTGCGCCTCTTCGCGCTCCTGCGACCAGATGTCATGCTGATCTTTATACTGCTTCTCCATATTCGCGAACCACTCTTTCTGCTCCGCGCTCTCCTCACCTGACTCAACGCACGTGGGACACTTGATGTAGAAGCCACCCGTTGTGTGCTGCTCGCCCATGAGCTCGAATTCCGGGAGGGTGTCGCCGATTAGCTCGGTCTCGTCCCAGTCTAGACAGTCTTCACAGAAGCCTTGAGGACACCAGCGGCAACGGAAGATCAGACCGCCGGCATCGTTGGTGGTTTTGCCGCAGTCGGTGCAGTTGTGCTGGGGGCAGTAGAAGCCGGCGAAGCCCTTCACTTTGGCTTTGTACTGGGGATCGAGACAGTCGTAATGATAGGCACGGGGGCAGCTCTTGCATTCAACCAGATGTCCGGCATCGGCGTCTTCGAAACAGCCGAGACAGTGGTCTTCATGGGTGATCTCGCGACGCTTCTCGCGGACTGGTTCAGCGAGGCGGGGATCTTTGCCTGCGAATGTCGGTACGGCTTCCCAGTCACCACAGTTCATGGATTCTTTGTTGATAGCGAAGCCATCTACCATGACGGTAGTGTTCTTTCCCTTACGGCGATCCTCGCGAGTGATGGTGTCTGGGAGAATGTTTGCGGCCGATGTGTTGGCCTTCCAGGTGGTGTCAAGCTGACGTTGATGACGCTTGCCTTCGAACACGGCGCATTCAACTCGCTCCATAGTAGAGAGCCATTTGTCCTCATCGACTTCAGAGTGTGTCGCTGAGTCGGTCAGATCGGCAGGGGCATCGCGGCACTTGGCCATCATAGTCTCCAGATCCCAAGACACCATCTCTTTGACATCGATTTCTGGATGCGACAATGCCTGGGCGCCTCGACGTACAAGCGTCTTGAGCTGCGTTGCATCCATCTGTGGCAAGTCTTCACTTAGAGACGGACGTCCGACCTTCTTAGTATCGGCCATCTGCTTGCCATGTACGCTCTGCATCGACTCTGTAATCTTTGCTGAGAGGTAAAGCTTCTTGCGAATACGACCCATCATTTGCTCTTCGACAGTACCCTGGGTACAGAGCTTGTAGATGGTCACCTTCTTGGTCTGCCCAATGCGATGAGCTCGGGCCTCAGCCTGGAGTGTGATCTGCGGGTTCCAGTCTTCGTCAAGGAAGATGACGTCCTGGGCGCTCGTGAGGTTGATACCCAAGCCACCTGCGCGGGTCGAGAGTAGCATGACCTTGTAATCGGAGTCCTTCTGATTGAAAAGGCGGATGTCCAAGTTACGCCGAGCTCGAGCTGTGCTACCATCAAGACGAAGAGACTTGAAGCGCTCTCCATGGTTGCTAATAAGAGACAAGAGGTCTTCACAATAGTCGAGCGTGCGAGTGAAGCCAGAGAAGATAAGGACCTTCTTGCCTTCGTTGAATACCGTGTGCTTGAGAAGCTTCTCTAAGAGGATGAACTTGCCGGATGCACGAATGATGTGGTCGCTCAGGTAATAGGGATCGGGTGAGACACCGGGGAGTAAGTACGGATGCGAGCAGCACTTGCGTAGCTGCATGACGAGGTTCATAAGCTTCTTCCAGGCACCCTTGTTGGTGTCGGTGTCGGTCTGCTCCTTTGCAACGGCTTCTTGCAGAATTTTGGTGGTTTCTTCCCAATCAGCCTCGGCACCGCCGGAGCTGACCACCTTGTCTACTTTTTCCATCTTCGCCAGTAGCTTGTTCTCTTCGATATCCTGCTCGATGGCGGCCTTCTCTTTGGATTTGCCATCAGCAAAGAGCTCGTCGAGCATACCGTCGTCCATACGTGTCAAGAGACGGGTGTACCAGAACTTCTGCATGGGAGTCAAGGGTACATAGAGCAGGATTTCCTCCTTGGGCGGTAGGCCGAGGTTGACAGAGGGAGAGTCCTTCATACGTCGCAGCATAATAAGTTCGAGCAAGCGGCGGGCGTCTGTCATGGTTTGCTTGTTCGCTTTGCCCTTGCTGAGATCGAAAGACTCCTTGAAAAGTGTCTCGGTCTTGTCGTCGAAGACGTTGGGATACAGCCATGTCAGAAGCGACCACATCTCGACCAAGTTGTTCTGAAGTGGTGTTCCAGTCAGGATGAGACGATACTCGGCACTGATGCTCTTGAGGGCTGTGGAGATCTGGGTGACACTGCTCTTGATCTTGTGTCCTTCATCCAAGACGACATAGCGCCAGGCGAAGCTGTGCTTGAACCATGATTGCTCAGCCTGGAAAGTCTCGTATGTCGTGACGACAATCTTGTAGTTGTCGGATTGCTGATCGTTGGAGGTGAGCTTGGCCGCCTTTCGGCCAGCCTTGCGCGAGGCTTTCCGATCTTTCGCACGCGAGGTTTCATTGCCCTTCATGTCCTCCATGCCAGCTATGACGCGCTTCAAGCGGGTTCGCTCGGTGACGGCGCCGTGGAAGCGCATGACCTTGAGTTGTGGTACCCATCGCTGGGCCTCCGTGACCCACGAGTTGAGCACACTGAGGGGGCATATGACGAGATAAGGCCGAAGCTCTTCTGACGTGACACCGTTCTTCTCGTCCAGCTCTTCAAGATACTGGAACAGCGATAATGTCTGTAGCGTCTTTCCGAGACCCATCTCGTCGCCGAGTATACCAGAAAAACCGTTGTTGTAGAGATGGACCAAGTATGACAGACCAGATAGTTGGTATGGCTTCATTACAGCGGTGACGCCTTTGGGTTGCTCCGAGAGCTCTTCGTACTCGACAATGGGCTGCGCATCGCCCTGAGCGACAAGCTTCGCGACCTGGTTGTTCTTAGGCAGAAGTGGGAGGAAAAGGTCTTTGTTGGCGACGAGGAAGCTGTTCGCTCTCGCTTTGGTCTTCTTAGCAATGTCGTCGCGGAGACGAGCACGAGCGGTGTCGAGGTTGGGCGGCGGCCGGGCTGACTTCCGACGGGGTGGTGACGGGGTAGGCATGGTGTCGGACTCCAGAATGGTGCTCTTCCTGTCGCGCGTGCTCCGGCGAAGTCCGCCAGACTGTTCGCGCTCCTTCTTGCGTTTCTCCATCTTCAGTTCCTCGGTGTAGGCCGAGATTCTGGCGCTTGTCTTGCGGTTCGGGCGGGCTGAGGGGGCAAGTTCGTCTTCGCTGGTTCCCGCGCGGGCGCCAGCTCGTCTTGTAGAGGCGCGAGGGTACTTGTCGGCGACGGTCCTGGGCTTGTGGTCAGGCGTGGATGGCGAGGCTTCGTTTGCGGATGAGTCGGAGGCGACGTAGTTTGGCGTTGGTTGCGCGCGCAGGCTGCGTTTGTTGTCGCTAGTCTCGTCTGGCTTGGTCGCCTGCTGCGAAGAGATGCGTCGTCTCTTGGTGGCCGACTGGGCTGAGCTCTCGGATCCGAACTGCGCCAGGAGGTCTTCGTAGATGCCACCTCGTTTCTTGGGAGTGATGGGCTGGGGCGAACCCAGGGTGATGATCGGATGTCCCGCCATGGCGACAACTGTGGGGTATCTTGTAGGCAGGTCTTGCGCAGTGAATGAGAATTGGCAAGGGGTCTATGGTACAAGAGAAATGACAGGGAAGTGTAGTCGGAAGGCAAAGAAAGACAAAGGACGGCAAGAAAAGTCTAAGACAAGGCCGGTGACGGTGAGGATGAAATGAAACGACGAAGTGTGCCCAAAGGAGCGTGATAAGACGACTGGGCGTCTTCACGGTGAAGTGAAGTGAAGCGTCGCCGCATCGCCAGGCGCGGAGGCGATACGTCGATTGCGGCCGACGCGTCCTAGCGCGACGTGCAGGCGTTCCTTCCGGAACCGTTCCGAGCTATCAAGTCTATCCAACGCCGCGACCCTCACACGTCGACATTTCGCGAATCAAGTCCCCACGCCCGCGCATCTGGCGCACCACCCCCGACCACCATGGCGCAACAGCCCATGACGCCCTTCTTCCCCATCTTCGCCTCCAAGTCGGATGGGCAGCACATCGTCAACCTCAAAGGCCGGCCGCTCAGAAATGGGCCGACCGAGGAACAGCTCAACACGTCGCCCAACGACCAGGGCCAGCGCGACTTCTACCGCCTCATCGAGAAGGAAGACCCCAAGCACCAGGACTGGCGCAAGAAACTGGGCGGCATGCTCCTGCGCGAGATCGGAGGGAAGCAGTTCGAAGGTATGGCTATGCGAGGCGCATTCGCTGCAGCGCACTGACATGTGACAGATCGGTGGCAGCAATGCATTCTGTGGGAGCTGCCCGAGAACTATGTCTTATACGAGCACATCAAGACCAAGGCAGATGGCCAGCTGAAGACAGTCAAGAACCACTCGGGCGGCGGCCACGACAGACAAGACGCCTATCTCTATGGATACCCCAAAGGCCCCAAGAAGCGCTTCCGGAGCCCCGTCGAGTTCTTCCCCCATCTCCTGTGGCTGTGCACCGACGAGAACAGCGACATGGCCAACTGCACGTGCAAGATGTGCTCGCCCGCCGGAGACGTCGAGAAGCCCCAGGTCAAGGTCGAAGTCAAGCAAGAACAGCCTGCACCCATCAAGCGCGAAAACAGTTCCAGTGGCGCTATACCAAACACAAACGTCACAGGGCGCAACCCCATAGTGCAGATCCCTGCCCGAAGGTCCTCGACCGGTGCGCCTATCCCAAGTCCCATAGTCAAGCCCTCTACGCCCGTTGCCGGTCCCAGGCCTACCCCCACACCCGCCGCTGCACAGATCAGAGCTCCCCCGACATTGCAGTCAACACCTCTCCCCCAGCCGCGATCCATCGAACAACAAGCCGACTTGTCGTACAACAAATTCCTCTGCCGGAGCGGCGAGGTGGTGTGGTTCTTCCGCCCCAAGACGTCAGCCTGGGGCCTGGGGCTGGTGGTGCGAAGATGGGCTACCAAAGAGGTGCCTATGAGCAGGGCATACCTGATCCAGCCACTATCGCATCCCTTCGAATCCCCTCCACAAGAACTCGTTCAGACCGATGACCATGTCAAGCCATGGCTCGCCTGGTCTGCACCCAGCTGCACCTTTCCCTTCCTACAGCAGAACCCTCAGTTCGAATACCACAACACGGATTGGAGGGCACTCATTAGTGGACAGGGAGGCGAGGGCATAGCGTCTGTCGACGCGTCTATATTAGCTGCAAAAGCCATCGATACCACGTATACACTCTTCGAGTGCCTCAAGACAAACAAGGACGACAAGGGAAACGAAGTGCGACAGTATAACGGCATGTATCTGGGCGCCGAGAAGATCTGGAGAGGCGAGGCTGTCCGTCTGCGCATAGGTGCTACAGGAACCGATCTCATGGTCGTGACCGACATTATCGAGCAAGTCCTTGTCAACCCGCCCACCACCAAAGTCATTGCTATAGGCGATATCTACAGCTACGCCACGCTGGATGCTCCAGACGCAAACCTTCCCCCCAAGCCACCCCAACAAAACAACAACATCCCATCGCGCATGGTCCACGACATGGTATGGCGAAACCGCATGCTCGTACCCCTCACACGCACCGCAGCGTGGTGGAAGCTCATCCAGCCAGCCTACAAGATCGACATCGACGACATCAAAGGCCGTTGGTACGAGACAAGTCTCGTCTTCCAAGAGCCCTTTGCCAAAGCAGTCAAGAACGGCGAGGGCGGAAACGGTATCTGGATGAACTCGCGTGGCGATGCTACAGGCAAGGGCAAAGGAGCCAGTGTAGCGCAACCGGACCGCATTGGTGCCTTTGGAGCCTCCGTGCCCAAAGGGACGCGCGTTGTCGAGGGCCTGGATCCTCCGAGTCAGCCTATGGGTCAACAACAGCAGTCGCATGATGGAATGGATATTAATATGGGTGGCGGTAATATGGCAGATCCGTTTTCTATCGACGAGTTCATGCACGTTGATCATTTGGGCGACGATGCGGGGATGGAGTATGGCGGTAATAACAACTACACTTTCTAGTCAAAGTGTTTTCGCTTCGTAGCAGAAGGCATAGCATGGCGTATTTGGGCGTGAAGGACGGTTTGCATCTCCAAAAGCATTTCTGGGACAGGGTATACGCAGTGTTTTAATTCTCATGGGAGATACCCAGGTCGTTGTTCGACTATGTAAACTATCGCCAGCTTAGTGACAGCAAGTTGAAATATTTGATCGAGAGTCCGAGGATTGCAATCTCTCTCGTTTGATGAGGAGTACCTTTGCGTATGTGGTGGTGATGTATCGCGGAAGTTATGAGTGACCCGTCTCGCCCTGTGTCATTGCAGTTATTTGATCGAGAAATACCAAAGGCAGGAATACAAACAACTCTCACCTTTTAGCGCTGTGATCGTAGCAAACAAAACACGATGCAAAAAAAGGTCTTCTAATCGCCCACACAGCAACTCGAACTCGGTGACCTTACGAGAGCAAAAAGAATGTCGAGATCAACGCCCACCTTCACCTTAATTACTAGGCCCAACGGATTGAGCCACCTGCACTTTAGTTGATAGGGCGTTGTTGTTGATGAGAACTTCCTCAATTATATATGATATATAGTACATTGAGATCTCAATAACAGTTGCACGGTCTGACGAGTCTCTCACATAGATCTAGCAGAACGACTCGTAATAGGTTCGTTTCCTGCTCCGATTCAAAGCCGTTGCTGTGGAGAACAGAGTCTGCGATGGAGGGGCGCCTGCGGGCTGTTGCCTGATCGAGCGCTGTTTGTTTACCTTCACTTTCACTAAGATCACATTCGCTTAATACTGAACACTGCGCACAAACCCGTCGCTACATCTTTCTTTCTCTTACGATACTATCCGCCAACATGCAGGCGACCACGCGCGTCAACGTTTTAAGGCAGCGCTTCGACAAGATAGACGATCCATCTGAGAGCAGCGAGGTGAGAGATTGCGAGTTCAGTGGAGATTTTGCCAACTTCCAGGTACGTAATTTGACACGAAGATCACAATCTCTAAGCAAGACACGTTTCTGATTATCACAGGAGCTCGACGATGCTGTGTGGGCGCATTTCCGCCATGATCGCGCTACAACTTGGCTGCACTTCCACCCTGTACATGTCGACATGTCAGGCCCCAGGTGCGGCGCGGAACTCGTCCGAAGGTTATGGGACGCCGGAAGTTACGTTCCTCACCTAGTGAAGGATGGAGCCATCCCCGTCATCCCGCATTTCAAGACTAAGCATCGCAACGGCTACCCGCTCAAACGCCCGCTCTCACCTTTACCAATCGCCTCTGAAGCTCCGAAGCCGCAACACAAGAACAAGATTGGCAAGACCATGCACGCGAAGGCAGCGATCGAGGTCCTCGATCTGGTATCGGACGATGAAGAGGTCGACGTCAAGGCAGAGCACGATAACGATTCGGTCGAACGAACGACACAGCCGCCGGAACACGCATCACAGGTGCTAGAGGAAGACATTCAAGAGCCTAAGCAAGAATCACCACAGCCAGAGAAGACATTCCAAGACCTAGAGAAGAGACTCCAAGAACAAGAGAGGAAGACTCAAGAGCAAGAGAAGAAGTCTCAGGACCTAGAGAAGAGATTACGAGTACAAGAGAAGAGATCTCAAGATCTGGAGGATGAGCTACAGGCATCAAAGAAAGTGTCACGCGAGCTTGAAGAGAAGTTACGTGAGCAGCAAGAGAAGAAGTCACACGAGCCAGCTTACGAAGCCCAAAGCCCAGAGCGAGCATCACCAGATCCGTTGATGCCCGTCGGCGCTTACGAAGTCATCGAGTTGGACGATGAGTCGGACCTTATCGAAATACCTCCACCCATCCCTGCGATTACGACTGACCCGAAGACCTGGCCACCACTACCCCCAGATGTCACGGTACACACTTGGATCCAAGACTTCGATGATGGGTTCGCATCTCTTGTAGATGCCGAGAACATTCCTGCGAAAGGGTCGGCGAAAGCCAATGCTGTCAACTGTGCAACGCACGTGGGTCTGATTGGGGGTCGTTACGGTATGAAGGCACCTATACCATGCGATCACTGCGAAGAGGCCGGCACAGAGTGCATAATTTACCATCCTAGTTGCTACGAGTGGGCGATGAAGGGAGCGAATACTAGGACTCAGCTGGGACGTGTGTGCATGCGATGCAGATCTTTAAGGGAAAACAGGAAGACCGCGGTCAAGGGTGGATGCGCCGCCAGATACGAAGGATGAAGCTGGCCTTGTATGTAGTACAGCCTGTGCAGAACAAAGCGCGAGCCGACGGGAAGCCTGTGCACATGACTCATTCCAGCAGTCAATACTACGAACTATGATACCTGAAACCTTCAAAGGCGCCCTATTTGTTGTGAATGAATTCCAAATATGACGCTATAGTCATGGGTCATGAGCGCGAACGACTAGTGTCACCCTTCACTGACCGTTGTAATGACACCATATAGACACGTGCGACTTCCCAAGCACGACTCCGTATCCTCGAAGAATTAGCAGGCAAGACTACTTGGATTGATCATGTCTATTAACCCAGAAGTAGTAGAGCAGTGGCAGCCGCCCACCGAGTCACTAGGCAGAGTTCCTCCAGTGACCCGGGGAACAAGCTGTGGTATACCCGTCAAAGGCGATTTCCCACTCGATCAGGTTGTAATAGACAGTATGTATCATACACCGCACGGCGTACTATGGCTACTAATCGTAGAACAGAACTACCCTCAGACACTCAAATCCACAGCTGCAATCGACACGGTGCATCGCAATGGACAGTCACCGCAAAGATAGACACTACACGCGTAGACGGCGAACCAGAATCGTACTTCTTGAAGGTAAATGCTACTCTTCCATCGACAACGACGCAGCTAACGCGAATAAAGTGCGCAGATGGCGGCCAAGGCAAAGCCATGCTCGAAGGCGAATACCACTCGATGTGTGAACTCTACAAAGCCGCACCCACCTTCGTTCCCGAGCCTCACGCATACGGCCAACTCAACGTCTCAAACCCAGACTCCTACTTCTTCCTCTGCGCCTTCCTAGACATGGACACCACCCAACCCCCCGACCCAGAACAACTATGCAAGAAACTCACAACACTCCACCTCTCCAGCGCGTCGCCAACCGGACAATTCGGCTTCCGCATGAACACCTGTCAAGGCAACCTACCCCAGCAAACAGGCTGGCAGGACAGTTGGAAAGACTTCTTCATCCAGCTCCTCACCGGCGCCATGAAACTCAACCTTTCCATCAACGGGCCATGGAAAGACCTGCAGGAATGCACCGATCGCCTAATCACACACGTCGTACCAGCCCTCCTCAACCCCCTCACATCGCACGGCCGCACCATAAAACCCACCCTAATCCACGGCGACCTCTGGGACGGCAACATCGGCACCGATACCACAACAGGCGAAATCTACGCCTTCGACGCCTGTGCATACTACGCGCACCACGAGATGGAAATTGCGATCTGGCCTGGGGATCCTAGTAGGATTTTGGGTCGGAAAGAGTATACGGATGCGTATGTGAAGATTATGGGGAAGAGTGAGCCGGTGGAGGGGTTTGAGGATAGAGGCAGGCTTTACTGTGCTTACATGAACTTGCATGCGAGTGCTTGTCACGGGGGAGACAGATTTAGGGAAAAGTAAGTTGGTGCCCAACGTGTGAGTCCAGGGGCTTGTTGCTGACTTGATGGGTTATAGATCTTATGAGATTATGAAGGATTTGATCAAGAGATACGCGGAGTAGGATGGAGGGCACGTCGATGTGGGCCAGGTCGGTGGGGAGGATATGTGCCTGGTTTGTGTAGAGTACATCCTCGAACAAGCTATATGTCTTCTTTGGCATACGGTACTACTACTACTACTGCGTCTATTCCAGCCCGGTTGGTTTATGGTATGATTGCGATAGCTCCAGGGCTTTGATGTTGTTCGCTGGGGTGTCCGGTGTGTCACCGCAGTACTGTAATTGTGTGTGGAAGCTCAGCGCGAATCAGGATCAGACCGTGGTCTGAGTCAAATACGCGCTCTAGTCTTTGTGCTGTGTGTCTTTTGTAGTGTGGCACGAGGGTTATGAAGTTTGTGCACAGACTGCCCGGCTGGTGTGTTATCCGATGTCTTGGCGCCGGACTTTTTCCCGATGTCTTTGCACCGACTTCATCTGCTATGCCTTTCCGCCGGTTGATCTCTCTGCATCGACGACGCGTTCGACGCGTTCGACGCAGTGGCCTACGAGTCTTGCATATGCTACCGGAACAGTCTTTGCTGCTCTGTTAGATTGCGACGCTGCCCATATTCATCGCGCGATGGGTCGCTTCCCTCTGGGATCATTTCCACAACGCCTCCGGTCTCGACTTGCTACATCCGGCAACAGCACGTAGCTACTTCAGCGGCTGGTTTACCACCTCCCACTCCACGGACTTCGATGTTCGCAATTCGTCCGTTTGCTACCTGGTCTCTCAGGTCTCGTCGTCGGTCGTTTCGTCATCAACCATGATGACGTCTTCTCGGTAATCTCGCTTCATCCAGACCTGTGGAAATGTCAGTACTTGATATCGACTATTACGGAGGGGTCAACACTCACGCTGTGGTCCTCTACAGGCATGTCGGAAAACATCTCTTCGACAATCTTGTGACCCGGAAGCGCGTCGAATGATCGGGCACGTCGCTTACGGGCTACCTCTGCGCTTGCGCGAGGTCTCTGCCTTGGGCTTTGCGATTGCTTCTGGTCTCCCCTGTTCTCCTTGGCTGTGCCGTATGCGCTGTCATTGCTGTCGTTGGGCGCCACCCCAGGAACGTCCCCATCGATCTTCCTCCGCTTGCTTGAGTACGCTTTGGAGGACTGAACTTCCCAGGTGTCGACATTTTCGTCTATCTTCCTCCGTTTGCTTGAGTCTCCCCTTGTGGAATGGCTCTCCCAAGGATCGACGCTCACCTTCGATGTCGCGAAGTTGAACTCAGAAGGCTGCATCTTTTCTGAGCGGTGGGGCATCTGCAGCCACTCCATCACCACTTCATGATCACGACTATCGCTCAGGTATCCGGTGTCTTCTAGATCCGGACCTTCACCCGCCACTGAAAGGAAGCCAGACTCCTGGTCCCATGAGTTGCAATCGTGGACTCCTGCTTCTTTCGCCTCAATCCGGGCTTTCTTGAGCGACGTCTCTGCTACACCCAAAGAACAACGGAAATTGCCCCCTACCTGGAGGAAGTGTCGACCGAATTTCTTCTCTGCATCCGCTCTACTCAAGCGTGGGTTGATTGAGCAGAACTTATCCAGCTTTTTATCAAACGTTTTGTAGTGCTGTTCGAAATTTTCTTTCTTTTCCCAATAAGTCTTCTCACATCGCTCGAGTTTCTTTATGGCCTGCTCAATCCTATCCCACTCTTCTTTGGAACTATTGATATACGGATCTTCGTGGGGAAGTGCTCCTCCGGTCTCCTGTCCGATCCCGACTTCTTGCACTCCATGGACTGTCCGACCATCAATATCGCCATCATTTTCTGATCTAGCCATGTCCTGCACATCTTGCGGGTCTTCGAAGTGGGTAGCAGAATAATTTGTTCTGCTGGATGGCGAGCCACCCTTGTCTTCTACTGGCGGGTTCAACGTTGTTTCATTGTCGTCAACAGCGATGTCGATAGACTGGGCCTCGGCTTGCTGGTCAAGACAGGCAGCACTAACCACGATGTTATGAATGTCGGGTTGCGAAGCCTCTACAGGCTGGTTACGGGCGAGAGATTTGCTACTCTCGATCTCTTGGGCGGTGCCTGGCGAATTGTTCGGCTGGACATTGTTCACCTCGGGGATACCACCGTCTTCCTGTGTCTGAGCTTGCTCGTGCTCCTGTACCAAACCTCCCACTTCTCCCTGCACGAATCCGTCCTCATGCTGCTCTGCTATGGCATCATTGTCCTTCTCGTTTGGTAAAAGGAACGTATCCTGGAGCTCCATCACGACTTCAGCAAAGGAGCGGAGATTCCCATCGTATTCTTTCGTAAGAGACTTTACCAGTCTTTGCATCTCTCGTTTGGTCTTCGTTGCTGCGTCGCGCTCGCGAACTAAGACCTTCAGGCAACGTTGCTGAGCTTTCGTTACTCCGCTGCCACCCCGACGTTGCAGTTGACGGGTTAAGCTCTCAACAGCCGCCTGTTTGCACTGGACTGTCGACTGAGCGTCGATTTCGTTCGCCTTCACCATCGCAATGTCCGCTTTGATAGAGTCCGCCTTGGATCGGAGTTGCAACATCGTTTCGTATCCGACTTTTCCAGACTGGACGGAGGTGATCATAAGCTGAGTAGGCAATGACGACATTTCGACGTTTGATGGAATTGGACGCTCTTCAGCGCCATTACCAGTGCGTCCATTGTCTCGGTGGATCTGGCCTTCGCAGCGACGGAAGAGGGGAACATAGCCCGCTACCGCCCTATACAGGCTGATAGCGGTCTTCAAAACACTCTCAGTGGTAGACATGTTGGGAAAGTCGTTGTGTAATGCAAGCCTAATCTTGCCTGAAGCGTCGATTGCCCGGTCGTGGAAATAACCAGGTTTGGGTATCTTGGTCTTGTCGAAGATCACGGCGAGAAAAGTAGATTGCTACAGGGTGTACGATTGCGGAGAGGGCGGGCAATCCAGTGCGCAAAAAGCTTGATCAGCTAGGTGACCGCGGAATAAGTAGGGTTCCGCTCCGTCGTTCTATTCACTAAGTGACACCAGTATTTTATTTACATCTCAGGCATCTCGCTTTCCTGAAACAGTATAGCGCCACATGGCCAGAGCGGCTTTGACTCCCTGCGATGCCCTCCGTATATACAGACTATCAGCGCTACGCTGCGGAGAAAGAATACGCAATCCCCCTACCGCAGGAGGGCGAGTTCCACGACTGTGCAATCCAGATTTACGATACCCTGCGTGGTCGCCACAGTAACTTGCCCTTCGGCCCAACTTTCTTTCCAGACAGGCGCCTTTGCGCTGGCCTATTGGCAGTCAACAACGCTGACAATGTCGTCTACACAAGAGGTCTCCGAACAAACCGGCCGGCCTCGGCGGAGAGAATCCGAGGAACGACGATGGAACGACCACACCCCTGTCGACAAAGATGAATACGTGAAAGGCATGATTGTGAACTTCCCTGATGTGGTTCTTTGCGAAGAGAAAGACCCCAACGCTGTCTCGACGCAGTTCGGCTGGTTGTGTTTCAAGACCAGATACGGTATCGTCATCGACAACACCACCGAACTTGAGGTTCTGAAGCTCGGCACTGCAGGAGGCAGCGGACCGTCATCGAAGCCCATAGAAGTCCGCGTGGATTGCTTCGGTCTCAAGAAAGCAGAAGATGCAGAATACTACTGCTGGGACGAGCGCAAGGGAAAAGAGGTCGCCTATGTTCCAGAGAAGGGCGTCTATGACATAGAAGCGAATTGCCCATACCAACCCAAGACGGGCGCCTTTGGAAATGTTTTAGATGCTATCCACCTCCCGCATGACTCCCGTATTCAAGTATGCGGAGCGATTGAGGAAGACGTCCTCAACGCGATTCTTAAGAAGCGCAATCGAAGACTTCTACAGAAACAAAGCAGGAGCACCCCCAAGGACATGTGGATTGAGGAATTGGAGGCACGTCTGGACAAGGACAAGCATGCTCAGCAAGATGCAGATGACAAGGCCCGCCCAGAGCAGATGAAGCAAGATCAGCAGTCCAGTCAAAATCGCCAACAGAGTGCTCAACTCCAGGTATGTCTTCGAGTATTAGGTAGTTCTCGAGATCAAAGCTAACAATGTTCTAGGACAAAGGTCTACAAGAACGAAGTGTTCATGGAGTCTCTCGGCGCCGAGCTCCTGACAGTGACACTACGATGAGGACGGCCCCTACCAAGCGCGCAAAGACCGATATCAGCATGCTCACACCCGCCCCCGCGATTCGAGACAGCAGCCAGGCCGAAGCAATCAATGGGCAGCGCAACAGTTCACGATGGCGTGGCCCGTCTTCCCAGCTTCCGCCTGACCGCGTTAACGGAGCTCGACGCTTTACAGGACCTGGTAGCAACGACGTTAGCAACCGCCCTCCGCACAATGCTCCACGACAACCACGCCAAGGCAACTCACGCCCTAGTCGACGGTCCTCTGGGAGCCATGGTAACATCATTGAGGACCAGGCGCGAGCCAATGGACGTCCAGAGCCGGCCCCAGGCAACGATGATCGAAGCACCGAGACCCGGCGTCGGCGCAACAGTGGTACTGATGATCGACATGGTAATGATACTTAGAGAGCACGGATAAGGCCTACAGACTGTCTTGGTTTTCCTAGTCCCGAGCAACACAAAGGTCGAAAGAAAGCGGGATGTTTACCTTACACCAAACTGGTATTCCTGGCTCTGGAGCTCTGAGAGATTCCACGCAATACCCATCCAAGGCGCTATATACCCATCAAATTTATGTCCACACAATCGCTAACCTGAGTTAAGTGTACTACCCGTTGATCTGATTTGACTCTAGTCCTCGATGTCCTTCAAGTCACTGCACTGCCATCTGCTCAACATGCTCCTGCAGCTACTAGCCTGATAAGGTCTAGCGCTTGCTCGGGCGCCTCACTGTTCATTGGTCAGACTCTCAATCGTGCAAGCCACAGACGTCTGCATAGCCCACGCAGTCAGCAACACGTTGGCACGCGCATCTTCCCCGCTTACATTCAATATGCTGTATTAATTCCTTATCGCGATCACCACAAACCTCACATAGTCCCCAGATACTCCCACGGCTTGATCGTACGCCGAGTCTACTTTGTCTGCTGCATGGTGTCTTGGTAGGTGATGTGAGTGATTGCCGCATACATAACACATACTAACATGTTAGGTCTAGGCGCAAGGCAGCCGTGGAGCGAACATGTCTTTCGCAGCCAACTCGACTACTGGCGACTACCAATACCAGCCACTAGACCATGCGACACAGCAAATAAGGCTTGTCACGCTCCAGGATCCGCTGGAGAACGACGACGCTATACGTCTCGACATCGAAGTCTTCGAAATCTCGGAAGCCCCGCCATATACAGCCCTGTCCTATGTTTGGGGTCCACCATCAAACAATGCTGTTTACATCGCGACCGGAAGGCTTGAAATCCGAGATAATCTGTTCAAATTTCTCACTGAGTTCCGAAAATACCACGACAAGACGCCTTCCGATCGCTATATGTGGATTGACCAGCTGTGCATTCATCAGTCGAGTACTGTCGAGCGCAACCACCAAGTGCAGATGATGAGCGATATCTACAGCAAAGCTACGTCGGTCATTGCGTGGTTGGGCGATGGTTCTGAGAGAGCCGACCCTTCGACACGCATTGCCACCCGCGAATGCGACAAGTTCGAAAACACGTACGATGCTGCATGTGTGTGGAGGGACGCTAAAGAACTAGCGGCGTTTGCTTATATCCTTCACCATGAATACTTCACACGACTTTGGATTGTACAAGAGTTCATCCTAGCGAGACAGATCAGGATTGTTGTGAAAGATGTCTGGTTGGTCGATAAGATGCGTAAAAGGGAGTGTCGTTCTGAAACCTTCCGTCACTATGTGTACAGCAACGTACCCCGCGGCGCGTATGGTATTATCTGCACGAGTTCTTTGCGCAGAAACCATGGATTCGTACCTCTCGAAATATCCGACGCACTGGTTGAGTATGTATGCAATCAATGCGCAGATCCGCGCGACAAAGTCTACGGTTTACTCGGTCTTGTCCGTGTTGATCAACGCGTCACTGTCGATTATGAAAAGTCGAATGATCAACTCTACTTGGACGTTGTTCTAGCCACGCTTCAAAGCCAATGTCTCGAGAAATCAACAGAAGCAGAAACGACCGCGTATCTACTTGAGACGGTGCGTTTCGACTTTGCTGTTGCGATGGATGTGACATGGGCCCAGAAGAGAAACTTTCATTTTCAATTCTACAAAATATGTCGTAATGGCAGACTGGGACGCTTTCGTGGTCATGCTTGTCCGATCACCGCAGTAGGCCTTGAAAAAGCCGCAATGACTGGTCGTGAGGTAGACCGGTTTTGGTTTGACTTCCAAGGGACAAGACATTTCATCTACTGCACAGATGAAGTAACGACACTGGCAGATGAGACGGAACGACTGTTGCAAGAGGACTGGGAAAAGTATGTTCCTCGAGATCATATAGATGAGACGTCGTGACTGTGCGTGCATAGTCATCTTGCAAAAGCAAACCAACCGGGCATGTCTTTCAAAAGTCCACCGACGCTTCACGACGGGCTTCAAATGTATCCACATTCTAAATAAAGAGCTAGGTAGTGCGACACCTGTAAGTATTGTGTCAGCTCCATGCTTCAATACCACAGCGACATTGCACCTCTTGCCGTAATTTGATCTAAACTTCCATTGTGTAATTTTGGAGCAGTGTGCTTGCACTATGATCATAATGTCCCGCTGGCCACCTTTCTTTCACTTTAGTCAAAGCAGTTACATAACGTCCTCTGCCACAATCCTCCTCATTATGCAACCTAGTGACCACTGCATACTAAAGACCAACATCGATATACAGCGACCCAGCAACTTACAAGAGCGCAGCAATATCCACAACCATGTCTCAACGACCCAACATCGAGCTTTCCGGCATCGCGCCCCAACGCACAGGCGTCCCCGCCGATCACATCGACCCAAACCACCCCTACTTTCCCCATGATGATGAAGCCCAACTGCCCCCACGCCCCTTCTACAAACGCCACTCGTTTTTCACCAAGAAGAGATTCCTCATCCCCACCTGCACGATACTAATAATAGCCCTCCTCCTCGCCGCCCTACTCGGCGGCATCAAAATCGGTCTCTCCAGATGTCCTCACGAGCCACCTCCGGTCTACCAAACGACTACCGTAACATCCACACCAGTCCACACAACGCAAGACGCAACGACTATAACAACAACGGTAGGTGCGACGCCTACGAAGACGGTGCCGTTTGAGGCGCCGGTTCGACAGACACCGGTGAAGCCTGTGGAAAGTATTTGCAGTGAGAAGGGTAGTTGGCCTTCTGTAGAGGAGTGCAGAGGGAATTGCTTCGCAGATGGGAAGTTCGAGCGGGCGATGTGTGTACCATGGACGGGAGGATTTACGTGTAGGATCTGTTCGTCTGCGCATGCGTAAGCTTTGGACTTTGACTGAAGAAGGAGCAGATTTGACGCCGTTTTAGTAATGCTGGGTATGTAGCTGTCAAAGCTAGCATTCTTTTGGAATAACGATCTTCAATACCAGTAGCACGAAAAACGACTAAAACCTCTCATATGTAGCGATCCATACCTTAGTGACACCAGCACACATGCTGCAGTGTATTAAGCACGGCTATCGATGTCTTACCTTCTTTGTGATGCAGTTGGGCACTGTGTAGCTACAATCCTTTGGCCTGTGCACTATACAACTCATCGCTGACTCAGCGTACCCTTCGCAAGACCAGCATCTGTACTTCCCTGATCACAACTATCGTACCACAGAGTCACATTACTAGCTCAAACTCGCAAAACCAGAGTTTGTTCAGTCGTATCATGCAAAGCCATGACGAAAAGACCAGCCTTCCAGGTACTGGTGGCTTCGCCCATCCGTCAACTCCACCTCCACTTTACGCGTTAACAAGAGACTCTTGGGAGGAGGCTAGCGATAGTAACTCTGATGAAGAACGCGCGTCACCCCTTTCAAACCAAACGATACCCGCGACCCAAGCAGAAGCCCCAACATCTTTCCCCAAACACCTTCCATACCGCCTCCCACCGCCGCCTCCATGGAAACGTCTGTGGCTTAGCGATACTTTTCGCATCGCTATGGCCTTATTCTGCTTCCTCACCATCTTAGCTGGTACAGCCACAGGCGCAGCCTTCCTTACGATCTTCCTTCAGAAGGGAAGCTTTGACCCGAAGGCTGGTGCGGGTATGGTGCGCTCCACAAGAACGATACAGGTTACTGTGACTACCGTCGTTAGCGAACGAATGAAAGAGACCGGGACAGCAATAATGACGACGATGCAGACAACACACGCTCGGGTGACTACTGCAGTTGGAGGGCTCGGTAAAGAGATGGGACCTGTGACGACGACGATGATCTAGAAGGAGTGGAAGTGTGTTATCCTAAGAGGGTCACTAGTAGGACGTAGCCTGTGGACACGTTGTGTTGATGGAATTACGGGATACAATATAGAGGACACTGAGTTGCTTTGCGCTGTCGTACGGAAACGTGTAACTGCGATACAAAAACCAATTCACTGATTACGTTCGGCTCTGTAACTATCATACACACCCCGTCATGATGGCCTGAAGCCTCCCAACTCACCCATCCCGAGGCTAAAACCGTACATCCCAGTACAGTCCGTATGCCCCAAAGAGATCTTTCAGACGCTTCTCAAAGCCTTCAACCGTGAATGTAGCGTTCTCTGGCGTCATTACGTACTTCCAAGGTCCTTCGTGCATGACCGAGAAGGTGTCGTCGCTATCGTTCTTGACCTGTGAAGCGGAATAAGCCGGATTGACGACGATATGGATGTGAAGGCCCAGCTTGTGAAGGCGTTTGAGCAGCTCGAAGAAAACACGTAGAACGCGTCGCACTTGGCGGAGGGTTTGAGCCTTTGTACCGTGACCCGTCTCGATGATGACGAAGATCTTGGCGCCTTTACTGAGTTTACACAGTTCCTCTAGGCGAGCGTGAACAACCTCACGGTCTTCCAGATGATGCTCTGTCACTATCAAACTCAACCTTCTTATTTTGCAAGCAAGATCGAGGCCGCCGCGCTCGTCGGCTGCGTAGTGCTTGAAGACTTTGCCCAGTAGCTCGTGTCGAGCGCGAAAGTCGAAACGGGCGTCTTGCTTTAGCAGCTCGCTTATGATGTCCATGTGCAGTCCGATACCAGTGTATTCCTCCTCGAATGCGTGTCGTAGAGTCGAGAGGCCGTTGACAATAGAGATCTTGCCATCTTTGCTGGAGAGGAAAGTGACGGAGGTTTCGGTCAAAAGATGCCGAGCAATGATATCGCGTAGTTCCTGCGGCAGCCGATCATGGACAGCTTCGCAAAACGGGCGACAAATGGCCTTGGTCTCAGCCTCTATCTGATCGGTGAAGCTAGTCCGTGCCAGGCGCAGCTCTCCTCCGGCCTTCCTCGACGCTTGCTTCTCTTGGATGAGCTTCGCTTTGGGATTCGCTTTCTTCATCTTGTCAAGTTTGGCCGCCTTGTCATGGAAAGCCTCGCTAAGCCCGGCAATCGAGTTGAGGGTCCTGGCAGTTGTCAGTCTTGTGCACGTAGTGAGCAATATCAAGCGTACCTTTCTGCCTCAATACGCCAATTGCCGGAGCTCACGACGTTGAAGGTGGTCATAACGGCGATTTGTATGGAGGTGTTTGTCTAAGCCTTGCTCGTGGATGTGATAAGAGGGAAGGATCAGTGGATGTTCGTGGTGATGCACACAAAGTCGCGATATGTTCAGTAAGCGACGGGAAGAGGTTCTCGGCGGCGGCTTAACGCGACAGAGGTGATAGCTGCGGTTGCAATGAAGCGCGACGAAGTTTGGTGGTTGTTGTTGATTGCGCACTAGATAGCGCAAACGGACGCCGGGGCAGTCACGGCCCGGTCACCACGTGGATGACGCGTGACGAGAGATACGGTTCAGCCAAGCATAACATCAACAGCGCGCATTACAATCTGTGAGCCTTCACTGGTGATGGCCTCCAATGTATGTCAGCTGGGAGCCAAAGGCTAGTAAAGGGTTGGGCACTCACCGCCAAGCCATACCTATAGCGTTCACAGGCATGCAGTTTGTTTCCTGCTCCAACGCATCCATCTCTTCTAGACAATACTAAAATTCGTCTACCAAGCCGCGGTAATCTCCAAAACCAGCAACGCTGGCACCGACAACGTAGCCAGCCTTTCTCAACCGGCACAGACACTCTATCATAGGGGCAGTACCCTCCAAGAGGAGAGTATCTTAACCATCATCGGGCATCGCCGAGGTATCCAAATACTCAAGAAGAATGAGTATCAATGCACCGGTTCGCAACTGAAACAGTAGCTCGAGATCTCGAATTTGTTCTTCCCAGCTTCGAGGAGAATACATCTAATAGAGTATACTACCAGGACGGTCTTTCTTCGGGTCGAACGCTAAAAAATCTAGAGATACGACGATACAGATCTTCGTAATCAGCTTATAACGCGGGGAGTGTATACAAGGGGCGTCCTCGTTAAGGAATCGCCTCAGATCCACTCTGAGGCGCCACTGTATATTCAAAGTGTTTGTGCGGTACCAGATAGCCATCGTTCTCGCCAGCATGGTCCTTCCGACATACTCGACGTTCTAGTAATGCGCGACTGGTTGATGGTCTCCATAAGCATATATGGGCTCGCAAGTTCCACCCGCTGCGACGCCCCTGCGACTGTGGCCTATGACGCGTTCGATGATCATGTCACACAGCTCTGGGGGTAGCGAAATGAGTATCTTTTGGCACATGTACCTGCATGACGCTCTTCCATATGTATCGAAGATTTTCAGATTTTGCATGGCTCGCGTGGCGGCCTCATTTTGTTCATAGCTATTGTAGATTTTCATCTCTTCCATGGCTGTTCTGGTCGTCTCATTTTCTCCAGAGGCATATCGCGTTTTGATTCGCTGACGGGCCCTGGTAGTCTGCGTCAATGCTAGTCCGGATGGGCGAGGATCGTCGGGACTTACGCGAGAGCCTGTTGATACAGCTTCATCACTTCTTCAGCAGTCATTTCTTTACGCATGATGTGCTCCTGTCCGGGTGGTGATGATCTGCTTGGGGTGCGAAAAGATGATACGCAAGGACGACTTGACATCGTGTGGGGCTAGGCAGCAGCGCGGGTATCTAGATAGCGTCTTGGCACTGTAACACGCATGCGCGGGGCGTAAATGTCATCCCAGTTGGATCGTGACATTGGCAGTGTGAAGTAGTAGGTGGTGTGCGTCTCCTATTCATTGTCAACCGAGAGCCTACCGCCATGTTCAATCGGACACTTACAGCCATACCAGCTTTGAGCCGTTCCCACTGGAAAAAGAACTTTGCGTATCATTGGTCGACTTTTCCGAAACCGAGTCATATAGTGAGCCGTTGTTCGGCCATGTTGATGATAGCATGATGCCGGTGGAAAGGCCGTATCCAGCAGCCGCCAAACGTGACAGTACGTCAGCTATAGTGGCGGTAACCTCACGCAATACCTTTCTTTCGTGATATGCATATCGATCTGGTGTCCTTGCGAGTATGGTGTAGTTATGGGGTACAATCACATAGACATGAATGGAAGCGCCTTCCTTCAACAAGAACAGGTGCTCCAGTCGTTCTAGCATGCGTGTGCGGGATGCGGAATCCCTCACCACACCTCCTCCCGATGGTTGCATGTGGGTCCCCACATCTCTGAGGTCGAAGGCGATACTGATCTTTGTGACAAGCAGCTGGCGGGTTGTGTCCAATGGTGCGGGTTGAGACGAAAGGAAGCGTTCGAGATAACCCAGATCCTGTCCAAAGTGAAAACGAACCAAGCGATACCAGACTTCGAGTATCTCTTTCGAGGTCGCGTCGCCAACTTTCTCGGCTTGCCAGTAGCGAGGGCCCCCTTTGGAGGATGTTGGCTCGCTTGTTGGCAATGCGGCAACGTCGCGTGTTATTGAAGACAAGATATACTCGTAAATCATGTCTCTGAGTTCCCTTGGTAGTGTCGCAATCACATTCTCGCAGAGCTCCCGACATGCAAACTCGTGATTGGTGTCCATGGCCTTTGTGGCGGAGCGTCCGGACATTTCCATTTCGTATTGTGAGATCCTTACAGCAGTGGCGAAGCAGCCAAGATGAATTGCAGGCGCGCTGTTCGAGGCGAAAGTAGGATAGAGCGTCGAGATTACCAAAAGTACCGGTCGCGATGAGAGAGCCGGGAGGCGGAAGGTCAGGGGCGCAGAGCGGGGTTATGTAGCACCTGCGCCTTCGGCGCAGGTATATTCACGACAGGCTGCATGGGTACCTATTGTTCTGCTTTCGTTTGTTTTGATCCACATCCAATCCATCAAACTCGTGTGTCGTTTAGGCTGGCGACTGTGGTTTCACTTCATGACAGCTTGGAGACCGATGTGATGCGGAGGCTCCCTAGGAAGCTAGGTAGCGTGGAAGCTAACCAGGTCTGGGCAAACCTCACGCGTGATCACGCGCTTCTCGTCGCGTCGTTCCCCGCAGCTGTTCCAGGCCACCTGGCTGACCCCAAGACGCCGCTCGGCTTTCCAAGGTTGCTATCGTCGATTGCCATGTGACTTCGCGTGACGTGGGGTTCAGCTGGCGGATCCCAACGCGACTCTTCGCTCCGTGCAACAAGACAGACCGCGTCGACTGAGCAGCACCTCCACAGCTTCCTCCACCACCACCACTCCGAGAGCCACAGTCTCTCGCGCAAGACGCAGATATGCCGAACGCCAAGAATCTGCCGAATGGCGGGACGTAAGTGGAACCTCTCCCAAGTGTTGGAAATGTGTTGACGCATTTGTAGCCTGGAGCAACGCCTGAGCCATTACCTTCGAGCGAAGCAGAACCGCACACAAGCCCTGTTGGCAGATGACCAGCGTATACGTGACAGAATCAACGAGATTCAGGCCGAGAAGATGTTACTCGAGGATGAATGTATGTTGCTCGAGGATGAGCTTGAAAGTAATCTGAGGCAACGTCTCGAAGATCCCGAGGGAGAGCCACTTCTGCAGGAGCTGATGGCAGTGGAGCAAAGCAAATGTCGCCCGCTATGCGAAGCTATGCAGCTGAAACTGCCACGCGAAATTCGCGACATGATCTATGAGCAAGTTGTGGGCCCCTCAGTCTGGCACAACGGCCAGCATACTGTACCTGTGGTAGCATCGAAGGATCTCGGTGTCTCGGACGCATTCAAGCTTGTCAGCAACAGCATCGGTCTGTTGGCCAGCGGCGGATATGATCATTTTGGCGAGGCCACACGGCAAGAGTTGGCGGAGTACTGGTACACAAGAACTACATTCGACTTCGGCACAGACTTGCATCTCCTCAAAGCCTTCCTCGACAGTGTTGCTGCCGGTACTAGTTGCAAAGCTCTTGAGGTAGTCCGCCAGCTAGAGATTACAATCGACTGCAACGACGAGTTCGAGCCGGAAACCGAGCGACTTTTGACCAGTGCTCTGGCAGATCTTACACTACGGATCCAGCCGGCACGATTACGAATTTACCTACGCGACATCCAGGGCGTTGTGCGCTATAATGACGACCGGCTCCTGATCCTACTACACAATGTCAGGCAACTTCTTCCGGACCTTCCTGGTTGGACGATCGAATTCGTTGTGCACGTGGTCACGAATGACTGTCGATTATCGCGAGGATGGCAAGGATATGCATTCGATGATATCATACCAGGGTATCATGTCAACCTGATGATACCTGGGAAAACAGCTATGTCACACGATGAGTGGTCGGACAAGTTCAGACTAGTAAGTGATGATCTTACCGTGGCATCACTATGCAAGCTGACTTTGGAAACGCAGCTTCGGAAAGAGCTTGAACAGTACTACGACGATACACTGCACGAAGCAGACAACGAAGACGAAGAAGAGGATGAGGAATCTGAAGAAGACGGTACTGATGACGAGCGCGATGAATACATGCCTCTTGATAGAGATGAGCTTCTTGAAATTGAGAAAGAGTTGGGCGCGTGTCAGGAGGATACGATTATATGGCGGGCCTTGGGTGCCCGATGATATGTGGGCTCCGCTATCCAATGGGTGGCAGCTCTATGTAGTCGCCAAGAGAGGAGCACGGGCTACCTTTACTTACGAGCAAGGGCCTCGCGACCTCATTTTCTATCTTCTATCACTTGCTGACGGATGCGCTTGCTAGTGGTCTCATCTTGCTCGCACTTACCCGACCACTAGTGCAGTGGCCCAATCCAGTACTTATACCGAGTTCTTCGACCCGATCTCCTTCTACCTTTAACCTACAGCTTTCATCCCCCGCGGCACCCCATTGAGATGGCGCCTACTACAACAACCCCAAGCGAGATTGAGCGCCTGCGCGCAAAGTGCCATGAGTGAGTTCAATTCACCGATGCTGAGCGATAGCTGACGTAGTCTATAGGGCGCTGAAAGGAGCGAGTAAGACCGAACTGAAGCAGAAAACGCTGGAGCTCCAGCGGCAGAAATTGCGAGATCGCGACTACCTCTTGAGAGAAGAACTTTGTACCGACGGTTTCAAGGCGGCCGATGCGCTCTCAGCATTTGCGCAGGCTGACTGCCTGGAGCTCTGCACCAAAGTCCAGAACGCTTTTCCCCGCGAGATACGGGACATTATCTACAGCTACATCACTGGTGACAAGGACGTCTCCATCGCTTGCAACGTGCCCTGGTGCCATACCTGCGAGTGGCACTCTCATTCGTCGAGGTCACTTTCGTGTTGCGTTCCGGAGTACGTCAAAGCAGCCCATTGGTGGAAGCGCGAGTACATGGGGGCACAGATGGTACGAGAGATCGGCGAGAACTACTATCGCTCTTCTCACTTCGTCTTTGAACACATTATCACCAATGTTGTTCCATTCCGCTCCGTGGACCACCTGGGTCTGGGCTTCAAACCGGTAGATTTCATCTCAGATGTGGAGGTCACGATCAACTGCCGCGACTACAGGTTTGAGCCCATGGACCGCGAAGGTAACAGCATTCCCACCGACATACATGCAAGACCTGCAGACTCTGAAGCCAGCTGGGGAGGTGAGCCTTTTAGAGAGGTACCAGACCGTCTTCTCGTGGAGCTAGAGTCGCTCTTTGGTTTCAGGCACGGCACTGCGATCACCATCAACCTCTCGTCGAAGCTTTGTGAGAATGCTACCTTGCTTGAGCAGCAGGCGTGGATGGCGTACACTGTCATTCCAGTCATCTTTCCAGTTCTCCAGCGACTCAAGGATGCCGGCTGTCGAGTCCGCATACTTCTCTCTGCTAAGGAAGAGTGGTCAAAGAGATCATTTACGTCCAAGTGGAACCCAAAATCTTCGGAGGTCATCAGCCAGGCCGTTCAGGAGGTACGTTTGCAGGGTCGCTGGAACTTTCCTTCCCAGAAGCTAACATCTGCAGTATGTCAAAGTTGAACAGGACCGCCTATCGCAAGCTGAGCTAGAATTTACCGTTGTTTCTGACGACGAATCGGAAACTAGTACAGTGTTCGACTGGAGTGCTTTCTATGAGGAAGAGGTCGCATCCAACACTGCCAACGAGACATAGTTCCCTCTCATGGATATGTGGCATGGAAAATCGAATGGAAATTTATGCTTGCAATGGTTTGGGGACGGTACCATCCACTGGGGCGGACGGAAAAGCGATTGATGCGGTCTCTTCATAATTTCACTTGTTTATAAAAGCTCACACATCGGCCATTGTATAGCCCTGTCCTTGGTTTCTTCTATCAGATACGAGGTTTTCTCCGAACCCATCTTATGAGAAGCTTGATGACGCAATGCTCGCGCGTGAAAGCGTTATCGCCCGTTAGGCAGATACACAAGCTGCTTTCTCACTCCTTTCCTCGCCTACAAATTGGGGTGCACCCTCAGCATTGATCGCCTGGTCTCACTACACGGTTCCACACCCAGGTTCAACCACAGCTCCATCTTGCAAAACGTAAACAAGATTACAATCCACCTTACTCGTACCAAAATGACAGCCCCATTACGGCCAGAAGAACAGGAAAAGCAGCTCCGCGACAAGTGCTACAAGTAAGTCCCGCACGAACAGGGCGACATATAGCTCCTGACGTACAACAGGCTACTCCACACAGAAGCCAAGCTCCTACAACGGTGGAAAGAGGAGGATGCGCGACACGAGGCTCGTAAAGCCGAGCTGCAAGCACAGAAGGAGAACACCATCAACGAGCTGAACCAATACGCTCAGGTCGCCTGCCGCAACCTCTGCGACAAGATCTTCAAAGTCTGTCCACGCGAAATACGCGATTACATCTACGCGTACCTCCTGCCCAACTCCCCGGTCGTCCTAGAGCATTGCGACCATCGCGATTGCGATAGCAAGCCCTGCGCCAAGGGAAGCGAAACACTGTACTACTTCGTTGAACCCCACAGTCATCTCTTCAAAAGCGCATACGTCATCCCAGAATTCTCCGTAGAGCTGCTCGAAAAGTACTATCGCACATCCACGTTCGACCTACGAGACCAATTTGCAAGGCTAGGCGCCTTCCGGAGCTTGGATAGAGGAAACTTTGGTGTCATACCAGCCAACTACATCCTCAACGTTTCCTTGTGCATACAATGCGACAAGTACGACTTCGACGGGGTAACGGCACCGTTGACCATTCCGTACGGGAGACATCCGCTCAAACCCCGGCGAGCGCTGCTCGCAGACCTCGAAGCACTCTTCGGTTTCAAGGCTGGCACTAAGGTCGATTTACACCTCCTCGTAAACCGTGACCGGTTGTCGAATGCGCACGTTGAGGAAGACTGGGAATGCGACACCGTCATTCCAGTCATCCTGCCGACGCTGCGTAGGCTAGCTGCTGCTGGTACGAAGGCCACGTTGTGTTTTGATAATCTTGGGTGGGGGGTGACTATTGATCATGGAGACGTCACGATGGAGGAGATCAAGAGCGGTTTGTCGAAGAAGATTGGCAAATGAGCCAGTTTTGACAGTTCCTTATGTTGAAGCTGGCAAAAGCTGCTGGCAATGCTACCTAGGTAGGCGATGAGGCTGTCTGCTCCTTGCTTCTTACCTTCCCGTCCCAACGGGTATGTTTCCTTCTCAAATAGGTATGTGTAGATCTTTCGATGAGCTGATGGCTGGCGTAAGCGGAGTATGCTGTCGATCGCAAGTCATGCAGGGTCCAGACCGCATACGCAGGGCGTGAGTACCTGAATAAGCGATCAGCAGCACCCTGATAGACCATAGTACGACTTCTTGAAATTGGGACACGTTCTCTTCGTGATCCTCTTCCATCTTGATCAAACGACAAAGTATGTGCATCGTGATGTACGCGATTCCAAGGACAGATGAGATTGGTGGTGTGGGTGCTTGTACATGCGTGCACCTTCGGAAGCGTGCTTTGAGGTACGCCAGCGAGCGCGTGAATGCGCATCTTGAACGATGTTCTTTCAGACTAACACCAATGATAGAGCACTCTCCGAAGAAAATATACGCAAAGCGCGTGTCGCAAAGCTGCAAGAAGAGCTTGCAAGTCTAGAGAAAGATCTCGCCAACACCACACCAACAACAAGAGACGCAGTCGAACAGGTCGCTCGGACAGAATGCCAGCAGCTTACCAACAACATCATGACCAAACTACCGCGCGAGATACGCGATATGATCTACTTCCACCTCAGCACACGGGATCGCGAACTCATCGAGCGCGAGCACTTCCGGACGACCCTGGATCCGATAACGAGGCTCTACTCGTACGACTTTCACAGATGGAAAGCACAACACTTCCCCGCGCACTATTGGAACACCGATTACGTTGGTCAGCCCTTCTACCGTGAGCTCGTGGAGAACTACTACAGAACAAGCACCTTTCTCTTCGGCGACGATCCAGGAGTAATGAAGCGTTTCCTCACCACCGACGAGATGAAACTAGGCATTCCCCCAAAAGCACTAGTCTCCAGCGTCGAAATCGGCCTGAATGCTGTCTCGCATGACCGCGGTTCGTTTCGCGCTTACATGTTTGGCATACCCAAGTCACCGGAGCGAATGCGTGAGGCTCTCGATGGCATCTTCGAACTGAAGCCTGGCGCTAAGATCGTGATTCGTTTCGTGACGGAGGCGAAGACCAAGGAGGAGAGAGATGAGCATTGCAAGGGGGCGATGGCGATGCTATTTGATGACGCGCAGGTGGAGAAGATGAAGATGTATAAGGTTAAGTTTGTGGTGGATGAGGGGCAGGTTTGGGATTTGGCGGAGGCGATGAGGGAGGAGTGGATGGGTATTCATGGATGATGGCTTGTTGCGTATAAAACCGATCCAATTTACAGTCTACACATCAAATGATTGTTGGGCATACGAGAGTGATGACGGACAGAAGGAGTGCGGAAAGGGAAAGCTGCCCAAAGCCGCTAGCGTATAATCTCTACCTGTTCTGATTGGACAAAGCCGATGTCGTCAGGGCCCGGGGGAAGGAGCACCCCGCCATGGCAGAAAATGTTATCGCGTCACCCCTCGACGCATGTTTCTACGCGTCAAACACTTTCCAAACTTTTCCAAACCTCAATTCCAGCCTCGCACTTCGTCTAGACGCGTCTCAATTCCATATCGCAAGATGGCTGGCGTTCCTAGCACTTACGATGGTACGCACCTTCCGTCCCGTGCTCGTCTGGCCCATTGCTTACCTCGTATCCAGCGCCCGTTTACATTGCCGTCATAGGCGGCACTGGTATCTCTTCCCTACCAGGCTTCACCCTCGCCGCTACACTCGACGTCGACACACCATGGGGCAAACCATCATCACCTGTCTCCATCCTACAACACCCGTCGCCCTCGACCGGCAAGCCAATCCCCGTCGCATTCATCTCGCGACATGGCCTACACCACGAGCTCGCACCGCATGAGGTCAAGAACCAGGCCAACATAGCCGCTCTGCGACACATCGGTGTGCGCACCATCATTGCCTTCTCCGCCGTCGGATCTCTCCAAGAAGAAGTGCGACCGCGCGACTTTGTCATCCCCGACCAGATCATCGACCGTACAAAGGGCATCCGGCCATTCACCTTCTTTGAGGGAGGCATGGTAGGACACGTCGGCTTTGGCGACCCCTTCGACAAGCAACTGTCCAAGATCGTCAGGCAGTGCGGACACGCGCTGGAAGGAGACGGCATCACACTTCACGAGAAGGGAGTCATCATCTGCATGGAGGGACCGCAATTCAGCACACGCGCAGAGTCGAACCTATACCGGTCGTGGGGTGGCAGCGTTATCAACATGTCGGCTCTACCTGAAGCAAAGCTCGCGCGCGAGGCTGAGATCGGATACCAGATGATCTGTATGGCAACAGACTACGATTGCTGGAGGGGTGACGGCTCTGAGGACGTCAACGTGGAGATGGTCATGGCACATATGAAGGCAAACGCCGAGAACGCCAGGCGGTTCGTTGGCGCAGTGCTGAACGAGCTCAGCAAGGAGGAGCACACGGAACAGGTGCTCGCTAAGCACCTCGATGGACAGATGAGATTCGCAGGCGCCATGACGAAGAAGGAGGGACGCGGATCAGAGGCCGAGAAGAAGCTCCAGTGGCTCTTCCCTGGCTACTTCGACTGAACGCCAAATGCTACTAAACGCGCCATTGACAAAGGCGCATGACATTTGACTACCATATACTACCGTATTAGGAACGCGGAAATACCTACCCCGATCAAGAATCTATGCATGCGCCCGACGGCTGACCAAGGTTCTGGAGGTAAGACGCAGCCAGAGGCGCCGATTACGGCAGGTCGATAGCAATGGTTACTCCAAAACTCCAAACAGAACTCCATGTTTACATCATGGAAAATATGCATTAGCCGTATCGATAACTATCCGTCGCCAGCAGCCCGTTAGACATCCGCGGGCACTTGTCAAGCTCGATCTCACGATTCTTTCCCTTAGCACCTTCCTTTCTCGTCTAAGATCTGCATTCCTACCTGCCGCAATCGCATCGACAGTTTCCCGGCCTACACAATGAGCGCTCGAAATGTTTATGATATTGTAAAACGGCTGAGTGAGAAATCCAGGCTTACAGGCTGCTCGAGTATTTTGTTCGGGTGACACCGGTGTATCGCGCTGATCAGGTACCAGGGTGCGGCGGGTCAATCAGATGAACAGTACCTGCATGCCTGCCATTACCTCGCAACAACGGGCACGAATTGGAGGGTGACACCGCATATCTGTATTTCTTATCATGCAGATCGATACACTTCCAGGACCGAATTTGCATTTGCACCGCGGGGAAGACGCGCGCGCAGCATGATCCCGGTCAGACATGGGTGCACGGCGGCAGTCCTTCTCGGGTCACCACGGGAAGCATGACTATAAGACACATGATATCGTACACAGTAATGAAGCAGCTCTTGCTCGATACCGCATCCACTCGTCACTCTCCTACCGAACGGTAGCATTCGCAACCGTCATCATGGTTTCAGCGTGGTTTCTAACAAAGGTCTTTGTGGCTTTTGCGCCGCTGACGACGACAGTCTACGCACAGTACAACGTCACCACACCTCAATTGCCTCTGTTGCTGGACGCTACCGCAGATGATTTGACTGCTGGACTTGAGGCTGGAGACTTTACAAGTTTGGATTTAGTCCAGGTAGGTTCCCGGTTTTCTTGCCAACATGTGTAGGCATGGATCTACCTTGGACAGCACCGCTGACATAATGTAGGCTTATGTGGGACGCATCATCGAAGTCAACAAGACTCTACATGCAGTATTGGAGATCAATCCAGATGCCTGGACGATTGCGAAAGAGTTGGACGAGGAGCGAGCTTGTGGAAAGCTTCGTGGGTAAGTTGTGCTGCAAGAATCTGCATGATCCTTTGCTGACTGAATGCAGCCCTCTCCATGGACTCCCGATTCTCATCAAGGACAATATCGCTACTGCCGACGAAATGAACAACACTGCTGGATCTTGGTCACTGATGGGTGCCAAAGTCCCACGTGATGCGACGGTCGCTGCGAAACTGAGAGAAGCTGGTGCTATCATCCTCGGCAAGGCCAATCTTTCGCAATGGGCTAACTATCGTTCATCGAACTCTTCGAATGGATGGACTGCTCGAGGTGGTCAAACGTATGGCGCGTATTACCCTGGTCAAGACCCAAGTGGCAGCAGTAGCGGTAGCGGTGTCGCTGCTAGTCTCGGTCTTGCTTTCGGAACACTCGGCTCAGAGACGGATGGATCCATCATCTCTCCCAGCCAGCTTAACAATGTTGTCGGCATCAAGCCTACTGTCGGACTTACAAGCAGAGCACTTGTCATCCCGATCTCTGAGCACCAAGACACCGTTGGGCCAATGGCCCGCACCGTCAAAGATGCAGCCTACATTCTCCAAGCCATCTCTGGACCTGACAGTTACGATAACTACACATCTGCGATTCCCTGGGCGAGCAACGCCACTAATGCTACCAAGCCCGACTACGTTGCTGCATGCACTCTGGATGCGTTGGAAGGAAAGCGAATCGGAGTACCGCGTAACGCCATCGGCACGCCCAGTCCCCAGTCCGCTCCCATCTACGCTGCCTTCACAGCTGCTCTCGACGTCCTCCGCTCCGCCGGCGCAGTCGTTGTCGACAACACCAACTACACCGCCTGGGACCAGTATCTCGAATCCAACGCAGAAGGCATCGTTCTCGACGGCGACTTCGTCCCCAACCTAGCACATTACCTTGAGCAACTCACATACAACCCCAACGACGTCCACAGTCTAGAAGACGTCCGCAACTTCACCCAAAACTTCCCCGCTGAGGACTACCCCGACAGAGACACAGCAGACTTCGACAGCTCCATCGCGCAGTCCCAAAACTTCTCAAACACCGACATAGAGTTCTGGGAAGCCTACCAAGAAGACCTGTACCTCGGTGGCAAAGGCGGTCTCCTCGGCGCACTGGCTACATACAACCTTGACGCCGTCGTTGTTCCTTCGCGCTCTGCGTCTGGTATCTCCGCCATCATCGGCGGACCTGTTGTTACTGTTCCGCTTGGTGCGCTGCCGCCCAACACAACGGTTGTCACGAACTCTCGCGGTGATTTGAATGCTACGGCACCGAATATTCCGTTCGGGATTTCGTTCGCGGGTGCGCTGTGGAGTGAGGAGAGTCTGATTGGCTTTGCGTATGCGTTTGAGCAGAGGACTATGGTTAGGACGAAGGTTGTGCCGTATATACAGCCTAGTATTGAGATTGAGAATGTGGTTGGTAGTTATTAGAGATGAGAGGGGATGACTGTATTGGGGTTACATCGGCAGTGTGTGTTGATCGCTACGTGATGGAGGCTGCGGGAGAAGGTTATACCGTATAACCAGCGTTGTTGTGAGACGGGGAATGCAGTCGTTGTCTATCAGGTCGGACGCGGGTCAATAGGCATGGACTTGTATGAGGTTTGTAGAGCGCTCGGGAGCATGTGTGTAAGGTCGGTGGGTGGTTGCCACCGAATGGCCGATGGGAATTGTTGCGTCTTACATCATCGCAACCACTACGTATCATGATCGCAAACAAGGTTATCAAACATCTTGTTGTGGCTTATCCTCCGATTTGGTTGCTGTTGGTTCAATGATGCTGTTGTTTCATTCGCTGTATTGTAGGTGTAGGACCACATTCGCACTCTTCGTATCGCCAGTGTCAAACTGTAAACCGAACAAGACAGCGCCACTTCATTTCCTAACAAAGGTTTTCTGGAGAAGGCTCGAAATCAACTAAGCTTGGTTTTGATGCCGCTTCAGCTTGGCTCTTTGCACGGTCTCGGCGTTAAGCGGACTTAGCTCATACTGGCTGACGAGATCGGGAGGACGTGAGAACTTTGTGGCTGGATGTCAGTCTGGTATACGACGTGAGGTTAGCGTCATCCTGAATCTGTAACTGGGTTCATGGGTAGCTGGTTTGTCGAAGTGGATGGGATCAGGTATAAAGATGGGCGGGAGACGGCAATTGCGAGCAACAAAGCGCCCATCAGCTCCTTCTGCCAACCCAGTCAAAGAGATATCGCCCCCTCGCATCGGTATAACTTTGAAAGCATCGTACTCGATCTGCAATGTTTTCCGCAACCCAGCAACTAACGCACATCCGCAAAGTCGCCCTCATCGGCGTATGCCCCTCCACATCCCATCCTCTATCCATCCCACTAACGCAATCACCAGGCCACCGGACAAGTCGGCTCCCACATCCTCACCCACCTCCTTGGTACGGGCAAACACCAGGTCACAGCTCTGACCCGACACACCAGCACCGGCACGCTCCCCACCAACCCCAACCTCAC